TGAAAGTTTGTTATCGCTATTTCTCGGGAAGTACGGGAGGGATCTTTCTCAAATTTTAAATGTAGGTTCCCCTTGATCCCTCGTTGTGTATGTTATATTTTGAGACTGATCATAAAAACAAAATGGATTAAAAGAAGAACTAAACAGATCTTTCTCATATTGCAATGATCGATTCTATTTCTTTCACATTAAGTACTGTACTAGTAAATATGTGAAATGACAAGCTCACTTTGAAGGTTGGCTTTCATACACATCAGTATTAAGTTCAGATCAAAAGTAACCTCAAGGTGCATTTACTGTTAACATGACTCGATCAAACAGATTAGAGGAAAGAAGAGAAAAGATCGAACTGACAAAGAACTAATGAAGATGGTACAAAGGTCGGCGCCAAGATCCCTCTGGGATCTGTTGTTATATATATACGGATAATGCAATTTGTTATGATCTATATGTATTTGGGCCAATCTGTGGTTGATGTCATGTTTTCATTATATTATCATTTGTATATATTATAAGTGAACCTGTAAATAAAAATGGTTTATTTTGTTGATACAAAAATATCTCGTTTTGTTTGTTTCAGATAAACCACGTTGAATTTTTTGTGGAGGAAATCGATCTTTACCTGAAATATAACAACAAGATCCTTGAAGATGATTAAGTGTAAACGTATAAACAAATCTTAATCATGATCAGCTTATGGAGGCTGTAGTAAGGACAGTGGTAAGGCAATTACTCTACAGAGTAACCTAAGGACACATACAAGAAAGATGTCATACAAGTGTGATGTCTGTGGTAAGGGGTTTAATCATGCATCTCGCAGAAAAACACACATGAGCATACATACAGGAGAGAAACCATACAAGTGTGATGTCTGTGGTAAGGGGTTTAATCATGCACCTCACAGAAAGACACACATGAGGATACATACAGGAGAGATGCCACACAAGTGTGATGTCTGTGGGAAGGAGTTTAATGATGCATCTAACAGAAAGACACACATGAGGACTCACACAGGAGAGAAGCCATTCAAGTGTGATGTCTGTGGTAAGGGTTTTAATCATGCACCTCACAGAAAGACACACATGAGGATACATACAGGGGAGATGCCATACAAGTGTGATGTCTGTGGTAAGGGGTTTAATCATGCACCTCACAGAAAGACACACATGAGGATACATACAGGAGAGAAACCATACAAGTGTGATGTCTGTGATATGGAGTTTAATCAGGCATTTCACAGAGTGACACACATGAGGATACATACAGGAGAGATGCCATATGAGTGTGATGTCTGTGGTATGGAGTTTAATCATGCATCTAACAGAATGACACACATGAGGATACATACAAGAGAGAAGCCATACAAGTGTGATGTCTGTGGTATGGAGTTTAATCAGGCATTTCACAGAGTGACACACATGAGGATACATACAGGAGAGAAGCCATACAGGTGTGATGTCTGTGGTAAGGAGTTTAATGATGCATCTAGCAGAAAGACACACATGAAGATACATACAGGAGAGATGCCTCACAAGTGTGATGTCTGTGGTAAGGAGTTTAATCAGGCATCTAACAGAATGACACACATGAGGATACATACAGGAGAGATGCCACACAAGTGTGATGTCTGTGGGAAGGAGTTTAATGATGCATCTAGCAGAAAGACACACATGAAGATACATACAGGAGAGATGCCTCACAAGTGTGATGTCTGTGGTAAGGAGTTTAATGATGCATCTAATAGAAAGACACACATGAGGATACATACAGGTTAGAAACCATACAAGTGTGATTTCTGTGATAAGGAGTTTAATCATGCATCTCACAGAAAGACACACATGAGGATACATACAGGAGAGATGCCATATGAGTGTGATATCTGTGGGAAGTGGTTTAATGATGCATCTCACAGAAAGACACACATGAGGATACATACAGGAGAGATGCCACACAAGTGTGATGTCTGTGGTAAGGAGGTTAATGATGTATCTAACAGAAAGACTCACATGAGGCAACATACAGGAGAGAAACCATACAAGTGGGATTTCTGTGATAAGGAGTTGAATCATGCATCTCACAGAATGACAAACATGAGGATACATACAGGAGGGAAACCATACAAGTGTGATTTCTGTGATAAGGACTTTAATCATGCATCTCAGAGAAAGACACACATGAGTATACATACAGGAGAGATGCCCCACATATGTGATGTCTGTGGTAAGTAGTTTAATGATGTATCTAACAGAAAGACACACATGAGGATACATACTGTAGGAGAGATGCCATAAAGATTGTGATGTCTGGTGAATATAATAAGGGGTTTAATCAAACTGGTGATCGTCAGAGACATCTGGGGACTCATACAGGAGAGAAGCCATTCAAGTGTGATGTCTCTGGTAAGGAGTTTAAACAAGCAAATGACCTTAGGAGACACCTCAGGGTACATACAAGAGAAAAGCCATACAAATGTGATGTCTGTGGTAAAGAGTTTAAACATCAATCTAGTCTAAAGATGCACTTCATGACACATACAGGAGGTAAACCATGCATTGATGTTCAATGTTTGTAGTTAGGGGTTATTTAAATTAACAGCTCTACAGACACACCTAGATCCAGATGCCACAGGACAGAAACTGTTTATGTGTGATCATCAGATGACTGTGGTAGGGTTTAGTCATGTAGATAGTCTAAAGATGCACCTCTAGACATCATCCTTGATAGAGGGATTACGTTCTGTCAGAGAGCGTAAGTGAGAGGGATTAGGCTCTGTCAGATAGCATCAGTGAGAGGGATTACGTTCTGTCAGAGAGCGTCAGTGAGAGGGATTACGTTCTGTCAGATAGCGTCAGTGAGAGGGATTACGTTCTGTCAGAGAGCGTCAATGTGAGGGATTACGTTCTGTCAGAGAGCGTCAATGAGAGGGATTACGTTCTGTCAGAGAGCGTAAGTGAGAGGGATTAGGCTCTGTCAGAGAGTGTCGGTGAGAGGGATTACGTTCTGTCAGAGAGCGTCAGTGAGAGGGATTAGGCTCTGTCAGAGAGGATCAGTGAGAGGGATTACACTGATTACACTCTTATCAGAGTGTGTAAGTGAGAGGGATTACGCTATGTCAGAGAGCGTAAGTGAGAAGGATTATAGACTCTGTCAGAGAGCGTCAGTGAGAGGGATTACACTCCTATCAGAGTGTGTAAGTGAGAGGGATAACGCTATGTCAGAGAGCGTAAGTGAGAGGGATTATGCTCTTGTCAGAGAGCGTAAGTGAGAGGGATTACGCTCTGTCAGAGAGCGTAAGTGAGAGCGTTATCCCAGCAGTATCAAGGATGCTTTTGACACATACAAGCGATATACCATTCAAGGATGATATCTGTAGTCAGGAATTTAATCAGGCAAGTGATCTAAAAACCTCAGGAAACATACAGGAGGGAAATAATTCATGTTTACTATCTGTGGTAATTATATAAGGGGTTTTATAAATCCACAGCTGTACAGACACTTATTTGCTAATTATGATAACATATGTACATCAAACGAAGCACATAGTATCTGATGCGAAAGACACCATAGAGAGTCATCTGTATTAAATCTCTAAAAAAGATAAAAGTTTTGGTGCTTTGATTATATAGATATGTTTGGTATACAAAAAATAAACAATTGTTGTCTTCAAAAGAACTATTTACTAGTGCATTTTCAACATTTTGAAGTGGTCATATGATGAACTTATGCCGTACTGCAGTGTCCATCATCAGTCCGTCGGTCAACTTTTTCTTTTGAACAATTTCGCTGAAGAACTGGAGAACCTAGGGTCATGATATTTGGCCAGTAGGTACCTGGGATGGAGTGCTATAAACTTCTCTCATTAAAATGACCTTGGCCTATTTTCAAGGTCACAGGGGTCAAATATGTTAAAAATTTAAAAAAAACAATATCCTAATAACCATTTGGACTAGAGTCATGATACTTTGCTATGTTATGTAGACCAGCAGTGCAAATTATTTTCTTAATTACAGGAATGAGGTCAAAGGTCAACTTTAAGTGCTAGAAAGGGGCCAAAGGTCAACATGGGTTAAAAGCTTTAACAATCTTCTTCTCCAGTTCCATAAGGCCCAGGGTCATGCTATTTGGCCAATAATAACCTGGGATGGAGTGCTATATAGTTTCTTCAGTTAAATGAATTTGACCTACTTTCAAGGTCACATAGCTATAGGTCATGTAGCTATAGGTCAAACATGTTAAAAACTTTAAACAACAATATCCCACAAACCATTTTGACTAGTCATAATATTTTGGTATGTTATGTAGACCAGCTATGTGAATCTTTTTAGCTCACCTGGTCCAAAGAACCATGGTTAGCTTATGCCATACCGCAGTGTCCGTCGTCTGACGTCCGTCCGTCAACTTTTCCTTTAAAATGCTACTAGTCCTTAATGGCCAAGTAGATTTTGACTAAATTTGGTCTGGAGCATCCTTAGTCCAAGGGGGACTCAATTTTGTATAAACAGTGGGTGTGGCCCCCCTAGGGGCAGAGGGACAGGGCTCCATAGGGGGGAAATAGGTAAAACCTTTAAAAACCTTCTTCTACCGTAGGGATTGAAGGATTTTATCCTAATTTAGTCTGGAGCATTTTTCTGCCAAGGGGACTCAATTTTGTATAAACAGTGGTATAGAGGAATAGCTTAAATATCCTTCTTCTGTTGGGATGAAGGTATTTTGACCAAGTTTGAACAGTAGAATCTTATGGGGAAGGGAAATCAGTTTTGTATAAATAGTGGGTCTGAACGGAGACGGGGCCAAATAGGGAAAATGGAAAAACAGCTTTAAAATCCTTCTTCTTCTGCAGGAATGACAGGATTTTGTCCACATTTGGTCTAAAGCATCCTTGGGTAAAAGGGACTTAATTTTGTATAAACGATGGGTCTGACCCCCCTGGGGGAATAGAGGCGGGGCCCAATAGGGGAAAAATAGCAAATTCTTTAAAATCCTCCTATTCCTGTAGGAATGACAGGATTTTGTCCTTTGCATTTAAATAAAACCTCTGACTAACCATGTAATGATACATGTGAACTTCCAGCAACATCTTACGATTTCAGCTTTAAATTAACTAACATTTCCAGGTGAGCGATTCATGCCCTCTGGGCCTCTTGCTCTTTATTACAGTAATAAGGTCAATACTATCATTATTATCAATGCTTAACGGCCAATCAACACAGGATAGGTCATTAGGGCCAACAAATGGTCGACAAAAACAAACGCTGAATCAGATTTTAAAGGTGTGAAATAGGAGAAAGAACCTAGAGGAAGAAAAGAAAAGAGAAAGGAAAAAGGACAGAAACAATATCTACACTATATCCCACGGCCCGACCATTCGAGAGGAATGCACAAAGGGACTGGCCGGAAGGCGGGCTCCTGTATACCAAACCCCCATCAGGAAGGAATGCACAACAGTGCAAACCGAGCATTAATTTGCGTGCCCCAGCCAACGGATGGTGCTGCTTGGTCTGACCTCGACCTTTCAACCTGTCTGGATTGGGTGACTCTACCAGGTGTACAAAGCCCCAACCAGCATAGCTATCCAGGTCATTGAGGTACTTTCAATCCCCACACCACGGAAAGGTGCAGCGACTAGAGGTAATAAGGTCAACTTCAAGTGCTAGTCAGGGTCAAAGGTCAACATGGGTTAAAGTGTACATGGAACGAAAATAGAAATGAATGTATAAGTATTCTATATGATCCAAAAACTTTTTTTTTTTTTGTTACCACTTATTTATTTTTACTTATTTGTTATTATTTAGTTGTTATAACTTATTGGTTATTTGATAATTACGACAAAAACGTGGTAAGGCTGTCCGGCAAAATAGACGGCTTCAGCTCTAACGAACATGCAAAATAATAAAATTGTTACTGTTGGTAATGTTAACATGAATCGACACGCTTAATTGATTAATTAAAAGTGAACATTTTATTACTGATCTGAGGTTGCCGGTTTAATAAGCAATAACAAATAAGTATTAACAAATAAGTATTAACAAACAAGTATTAACAAATAAGTAATAAGAAATAACAAAAATGGACTTTTGATAGTTTCCAGACAATTAAATACTTGAGGGATTAGGACCAATATATTTTATACTATGCTCTACAGTGAGAACTTATTCCATCATGTCGTTGAACAGCACTACTTTGTGACCAGTTTCTGTGCCGGATTATTTATGTGGTTATATACTGCGGTACCGCAACGGTCCAAAAATACGGAATCTATCGGTGAAAAATGTTTACAAAATAACCTCAACGGTGGTGTCTGCTGTTTTTTGAATGTCAATGAAATGTATGGCATATTTTCGGTATTACCGTTTAATGACAAATTGAGGTCATTGTGTCTTCCTTATGTTAGGCTGGCACTTCAAGCATCTAATTGTATACAGTACAGTACTTACGTATGCGATGCTAAATTATATCACGGACTTTAATGATCTAATTCCGTGGTTATATTTATCTCGAAAATATAATTGAATTATGAGATTCATTTTTTTTTCTCTCCATATACTGCATGTAATATTCACAAGTATATACTTGCCATATACTCTCGTTTCTGCAACGTGTGCTTCTCATCTTCAATGTGAACTGAATATAGTACATAGATACTCACAAAAATGGCGAATAATAGTGCAAAAAGTGCAATTGTTACTTTTGGAAAACATAGCAAACGGCAACAAATCGGTAATAAACCGTCCTTCTATCTTGGACTCAGTCTAATCACGGAATTAGATTAGATACTATCTAAGTCTAACACAGTACAAGGACAGCGTTGTCTATGCTGGTCTGCTTACGTCGTCATCGTTGGCAAGTGATGAATGCATTTTAGTACAGATGGAAAAGGTTAAAAAGTCATTCAATTCGATGATAGGATTAGGAATTCACAATAATGGAATGTCTACAGTGCCAAGTGTTACTATTTGGAAGAATATCTTACTTCCGTCACTGATTCGTCTGTCAGCAACTTGGAGAGATATTGAAATACTCCAATAAAAAAGTAGCAAGAAGATGTCAAGGATTCGAATATGACTCACCTTCATGTACGTGTTACAATTTCTTCATTAGGTCTATTGGAAATCCAGGCATGTGTGGACAAGTGTAAACTGTTTTTTGGAATCGTATGAACAGAGGAGATGCAAAATATATATATGGAAGACGATCCTGAATGCCCGTATGTGTGAGTTCAGGGTCAAAGAAAATGTCGTTTCAGACTTCATTCCAGATATTGTGAGAATTAATGAAAAGTACAACTTTCACAGCCTCTTCAATGATTTCTTTTATTATGGAGACATTATTGAGAAAACAAGCTGGAGAAATTTCGTAACAAATGTTATCTACTTCCACCAAGAAAAGAAATGGAGGACTGAACTAAGTGAACGGAATGAACTCTGTATCTACTCGGACATCAAAACGAAGTTGACGTTACATCCACAATGGGATCTAGGCGTAAACTATTCCGTCTTATATTTGGAAACGAGCAGAAAAGATTAATAGAATCTTCCCCTACCTTTAGGGTGTGACAGAGAAATCTCTGTCACACCCTCAAGGTAGAAGATGTTTATTTTTCTCCCATTCTATTATTTCAGTCACAGCTCCACCGACAATAGTCTGCCATATTTGTAAACTTTTGATGACGTAACAATGTTACCAGTGACACATTTTAATGACGTCACAATTGAACACGTGCTAATCGGCACGAGGCTATCTGCCCCTAAGGGACGACAAGCTGATCTTTCCCGGCTAAAATGGGAGACACACCTGTGAAGGGTGGGAGAAAAAGTTATCATTTCTGTATGTAAATGATATATATGTAGTTACATGTAAATTGTGTGGACAGCAAGGAAGCCTCCGTCAACTTTACACTACTAGTCATGAACCACTGAGCGGATTTTAACAAAATTTGGTGTGGAGCATCCTTGGGTGAAGAAGAATCAATTTTGTATAAATGGTGGGTCTGGTCCCCCAGGGGCCTCAGGGGCGGGGCCAAATAGGGGAAATATAGCAAATTCTTCTTAAAAATCATTCTTCTTCTGTAGAACTTAAAAGATTTGTTCCATATTTGGTCAGAAGTATCCTTGGGGGAAAGGGAACAAAGTTTGTCTAAATGGTGGGTCTGGCCCCCCTGGGGGCTGATGGGCGGGGCCAAATAGGGGAAATATAGCAAATTCTTTAAAATCCTTTCTCTTCTGTAGGAATAGAAGGATTTGTTCCATATTTGGTCTGAAGCAACCTTGGGTGAAAGGGAACCAATTTTGTATAAAACGTGGATCTGGCCCCCCAGGTGCCTGAGGGGCGGGGCCCAATAATGGAAATATAGCAAATTATTCTTTAAAATTCTTCTCCTTCTGTAGGAATGTAAGGATTTGGTCCATATTTGGTCAGAAGCATCCTTGGGGGAAGGGGAACAAAGTTTGTATAAATGGTGGGTCTTGCCCTCCTGGGGGCTGATTTTGGTGTGGAGCATCCTTGCGCAGTGGGGAACCAATTTGGTATAAACCATGGGTCTGGCTCACCGGGGGCCTGAGGGGCGGGGCCCAATAGGGGAAACATAGCAAATTATTCTTTAAAATCCTTCTTCTGTAGGAATGAAAGGATTTGGTCCATATTTGGTCAGAAGTATCCTTGGGGGAAGGG